ATATGACGTGAAAGGTCGGGTGTATTCCATCTAGCCCTGTATGATGTGAAAAGTCGAGTGTATTCCATCTAGCCCTGTATGATGTGAAAAGTCGGTTGTATCTAGTTCAACGTCAAACTTGTGCGATGTAAAAGAGCCGAGGCAAGTAACGTCTAGCCCCATATGACGTGAAAGGTCGGGTCTATTCCGTCTAGCCCCGTATGATGTAAAAGGGTTGGGTGTATTCCGTCTATCCCCGTATGACGTAAACGGGTAGGGCGTATTTCATCTATCCCCGTATGACGTAAACGGGTCGGGCGTATTCCATTTATCCCTGTATGACGTAAAAAGGTCAAGTGTATGGTCCATCGCTGCATGACGCTAAACTGCTTAGAGGGCTCTATGGTAGCAAGAGTTAAAACTGCCAACCAAAATTTATTTTTCGAAATATCTTCCTTTTTTTAAAATTTTCACCATATGTCATGTGTTTTCAAAAACTTTAATTTCTTTATTAAAATCGTAACATGTCCTTGCTTCGGGTTCTATTTCAAATCTCCCCCTACTTTCAAAATTTCTAAAAGACTTTTTAAAACAAAGGATCTTGGACACCCGTATATGATGATTACCGCGTTTTCGTGATTGCCGCATTTGTGCCTTGTCTCTCTCTTTGGAATCGGTCAGACAAGTCTCTTCCTATAGAAAGCCTTTTCCTATAGACAGCCTTAGGAAATCCTAAGGAAGTCAAAGAGGATGCCAGGGTTAAAATTTTCAAATTGCAAAGCCCCTGAAGTCAAGTGGCATGGCCAGAAAATCCAACTTGTATTTCAAGCTTGTGGAACTCACTGACAGCACAGGTAGAAAACCTTAGGAGGAAAAATGCCCCAGGAGGGTGAGCGCAGTGAGCGCAATGACTTTGAGGGATTAGGTGGTGTGCCATCTAACCAAGTGACCTCAGAAAGAAATTTAAAATGTCTGCAATATCTTTGACGTTCACCTGCCCCTCGAAGTACAGGGAATGCCAAAGTGTATACTTCGTTGTCACTCATCTATCCCTCGAAAGACAATGAGTGTCAAAGAGGGCAACTATAGACACCCCATTTATAATCTAGCAAATCCTGCGGTTTCCTGAACCTTTAGGACCACACTATCCTAGTAAACCCAAAATTCATAGTTCACAAATCCTACCCTGTGACCCGGAACCAATCTGCCTACTTAGAACCCTGCAAATACCCTATTTTGACTCGGAATCCTACAAATGCCATGTTTTACCAAAAAACATTAAAACTAGTAAAAAAAATCTTTTTTGGTCCAAATTTTCTCTAAAAGCTTCACAAGAGGCTGAGGAACACACCTGAAGAGACATATTTCAATTTGGGAAAATTTGAGTTGGGAGACACTGGCAGTGTCACCCAGCCTAGACTGGGTGATACGAGTGTTGTCGCCTAGATTTGGGCGACACTACCAGTGTCGCCAAGACCTTTTGGTCCCAAATTGAAATTTTTGTTCTGTGGTTTGATTTCCTACCTTTTTGTGAGGTTTTGCCCTTTTATCTTGGGCGACACTACCAGTGTCGCCCTGATCCGTACCCCTAAAAAATAGAATTTTGGCTAGAGATCTGTTGGTTATGGAAAGTTATCCTTTCCAACATAATCTTGGCACTATAAAGTCTCTTTTTCGGGCCATCTCTTGGAAGGAGAGATAGAAACCCTAGAGAAGGATTGAAACCCTAGAGGATAGACTTGCTTCAAAAACCCTAGCCTCTTGAAACCCTAACTTTAAGCCAAAAAACGTAGACCTAGGGCACAACAACCCTAGTTCTAAAAATGATCCTTAGGGAACAATAACCCTGTAAAACTAGAGACTGCTGGTCAACTTCTGAATTAGAGAAGACAAAGAAGACACCAGTGCCGATACGTGCGAGCCCTCGAAGGCTCGGGAATCTCGTGCCATCCGGCCCCGTTTGGTATCATTCTTTAACTCTTCTTTCTTTCCTTCTTACTATTTGATTCTGTTTTATTTTATTTTGATCTGTTCATTTGCTTTAAAATCATGTTTTTGATGTCTTGGATCATACTGGCTCTGCCACATATCTGAGATCAGATATGCTCGTTTTCGGGTAGATCTGGTCACAAATCTGAATTCAATTTGTCCCACTTTCTCTACCACTTCTTTTTTATCAGTTTAAGGTGTCAAAATTCAAGAGATCTTCATCGAAAGATCAATCAGATTTTCATCATAAACAAGTCCAGTAAACCAAAATTCTTTATCATATATGTGCTTTTACGTATGGGTGTTTTTCAACTCCGTTTATGTAACAACGCTTTATTTTTCTTGTGGGACATTAGTCATTGCAATGACTAATTTTTACAAGTATTCATATTTGATGTAGTATATTATATTTAAGTAGAAATTATTCGATTTCTGACCAACCATTGAATTTCATCAATAGAATAAAATAACACAATTATTGATTCTAACCATAAATTCCCTTTACCTGACCAGAATTTAAACCTAGTTTAGTCAAAAGGAAATACCTTGTCATGCAAGTAAGGGTGAACAATTAGGAAAAAACAATTTGGAGAGGGCCTCCACCCCTTATATTTATATTTGCTCTTTATCTTTGGTCATTTATAACGGCTATCTTTATAAAGATAAATTGTTGATGGATATAAATAATTTTCCTATGTTAAAGGATGGGGTTGAGGTGAAATTAGTCGGACCACATCTGCCTTGGTTACTTGTTTCGGTATCGCGAACTTTTGGAAAACTGCTATTGGTTTAAAAAATGATTGTGGTTTGTATAGAGCCGAGGCTCCATACAATCAAAGTAGAGCGTATCTAGAAATAGTGTAAAGAAATGTGATTTCAATATTGTAAATATTTGTGATAGCCTTATAATATATTTTATATCTAATTAAAAAATATTTAAAGCTTTAAAAATATAGTAGATTGAACAGATCTATGAAAACTTGAAAATCTTGAAAATTGACAGTTTAAAAATGCAATATAAAGAACACTATTTTCAAAACTTGAAATCTATTTTTTTCTCATGTCCACGCATCTTGATGTCGAGATGCTCAAGTTGAAGATATTTGACCATCAAAACAACTTCTTCTAGTAAAATTTTGAGGTAGGTTCTAATTTGATTATTTAAAGCCTCGTCTCTATGTAAACTTTTTCCTTAAAAAATTGTTAAGCCACTACTATGAGTTAATGTTAAAAAAAAAAGAAACAAAAAAGGGTAATTTTTCTATGGTAGGTAAGTTGGATTTGATATATATGATCTAGAGTTGACTACAAAGAAACCTTCCAACTAAGCAATGTGGCACGTGTACTTGAACCAAACATGATGCCATTTACTTTGTTAAGGGACATTAAAGTAGTTAATGATGGTCATTGTGAACCATGCTAGGCTGAATTTAGCCAACAAGCCAAGCCACAAACACCACCAAACCTCACATAATAAACAATTGAAGCATCTGACTTGGGCTATGCCCATGTCATCTCCTATCCCAGTAAAATAAAAAAAGAAATAGTACTTTCGTCAGACCAATTGATCAATTTCTCTCCCTTGCAAAATAAAAAATCTTTCTGCGCTGTGGATGCATTCTGTTTACTTACTCCCTCGGTTAAAATAACTACTATGAGGACATTAAAAAGTAGATTTTGAGTTCTTAAATACTTGAATCTTTGAACAGTCTCACCTCGATTTGAAGGGTTATTTCTCTAGGCATGAACATATTGCGATTGAAATTGATCCCGAAGTAAATTTAGGTAGTGTGGCCATGTGAAGTATCAACCTAGTATAACACCTGTTAAGAGGGGTGATTTGGTTCAAGTGAAAGGTGTTTTAAAAGGACAAAGAGAAGGCTCCAAAGGATATAGATGGAAGTAGTGATAAGAGATGTGACGACTTAGAGTCTGACATATGGCAATGGCCCTTGATTTAGTAGAAAGGCGAAACGTGATTCGTGTAGCCAAACCCCATATTGAAAAATGCAGCCTTAGGTCCTTTTTCTCTAGATTTTTTAGTAATGATATGAACTCCATGTCATAGTATATGTGAAATCCCATGTGGTTAAAATGAGGCAACGACATATAGTTAGAACCATATTTGACCTTTAATCAGATGTAGCAATGGAGGGAAAATTAAGTGGTGTGGTTAGATTTTTTGTAAAAATTGATTTTTCTATTTATGAATCTATGAATATTAATTTACTTATAAATATATTTTATCAAATTGTAAGAATTTTTGGATGACATCCTATTATGTGAGTTATTAGTGAACTAATGACAAGTTTGACTTATTACATAAGATTAATAATTTGGGGATAACTTGTTAATCCTTAGTAGTTGCACCTAAGGGAATTAAGGTAGGAGTTACACCTTGATCACAACTCCTATAGATCATTTATATGATAGTTACAAAAATGTTCTCTAAAATGACGTTCTCAAGAAAGAGAGAAGGATGAAAGCAAATGCATTTTGAATAAGATTCACGTAAAGGGAACACTCTAAGTTGCCTTTTGCCAGATGGCTCGGTCTATAATATTTCGTTTAGAAATTTAAGTGATTTATGTGATTTAAGGACAAGTCTATGTAATTTATTGATCGATTTTTTATTTATTTATATTTTTTGGGTATTATATTTAACATTATTTTTTGTGTCAGGACCAATACCCCAAATAGTTTAAATAAGGCAGCTTGGATGATGGTGATAATGATGCTAAGTTAGAGAAATTGGAGCCCCAAAAAATTTTAATATTGAGTTATAGCCCAAGGAGTGGGTGGAAGAAATGATCCTCTGGGGGAGCACAGAATCTTTTTCAGATATATAAATGAAATCATGGCAGCTATACGTGTTCCACACAACAACTCTGCAACATGGTTAGAAAAAGACTCCGGCCAGGGGTTAGGTAGACCCGGAGTGGCTCACAAGCAAAAAAGTAGTCCACATTAGGCAATCAAAAATGAATGGGATGAAAAAAATGAGAGAAAAGGACAAGAGGACCAAGTCTTACTCGCTCCCACTCATTCCTTCCAACTCCATGATCATAAGTTTGGAGAAGATTCCACCCCCTTTCCTCTTCCTCTATAAACACCCTTAGAGGATCATCTCTCTTTCATATCCTCCATCTCTATCTCTGTAAACACCCTTAGAGGATCATCTCTCTTTCATATCCTCCATCTCTATTTGTGTAAACACCCTTAGGGGATCATCTCTCTCTCACATAAACCTCAAAAAGATGGCTAGGACTTGCATGGCTAGAGCGGCGGTTTCTCTCCTCCTCTTTGTGGCGGCCGCGGTGCCGATCATGGCCGTTGACTACACTGTAGGGGACAGCGCTGGCTGGACCACCAACTTCGACTATACAACTTGGGCTTCAGGCAAGACATTCGCCACTGGTGATAACCTAGGTGAGGCTCTTAATTTTGTTCTTGTTTTTTTTTTTTGGTGAAATTTGAGTTCTTATCAAATTCTAATTGCATAGTCTCTCGTCTCTCTCTCTTTTCTTTGATAATTCCATTCATTGAGGTTGGTTGATTAATCTCTTGTGATATTTGCAGTGTTTAACTTTGGCTCATCGCACACCTTGGACGTGGTTGACTCATCCGGCTACAATGGCTGCTCGGCAAGCAACGCCCTCACCACCTTCTCGACCGGCCCCGTCACCTATAACCTGAAAACCACAGGAACTCACTACTTCATATGTGGAGTACCAGGCCACTGCAGCAATGACATGAAGCTTAGTGTTGCAGTCTCCGGCTCGTCTTCAGGCTCACCACCCTCTTCTTCGGCCCCTACCACCCCTTCTGGCTCTCCACCCTCAACCACCACCGGCTCTCCTCCGCCTCCGTCTTCAACCACCACCACCCCTTCCTCAGCTGCTGCAATTTCTCTCTCCACCGCTCTCTTTGGTGCAGTGGTTGCTGTCTTAGCAGCCCTTTCTTGAGAGTCGGAGCCAGGGCAGAGCCAGTGCTTTTTCCACTTTTCCACCAGGTTATTTGATTTGTTTGTCGATTGTTTTAGGGTTTTCTTGGTAGTGGGTTTCGAACCCTTGATGTTGTCATCTGGTTTCTTGGGAGCCTAATAATTGAACCAGGTGGTGGATCCTATCGTTTGCCTTGGTGTCTTTCTTTCTTTTCTTTTCTTTTTCTTGTTTACCTTATCCTGATTAGTGGGTGTAATTATACGCATCTATCCTCAGATTTTCAGGTTTTTGTTTTTTCAGTCTAACGAGTGATTCGATCTCCATGATTATGGTTTTCTAATAGTCTGAACAGGGTCGGCAACGGGCCAACTGTGGCCCTGGTCCCCATACGGCTTGCCTAGGCCGCGCCCAACCCTAACCGGGCCTAGCCCTATCTGCACTGGGCTATGCCAAATAAAATTAAAAGAAAAAGTTAAAAAGAAAAAAGTGGGTAGGGCCTCGTTCGGCCAGGCCCTGTCCAAAGGCCGTGGTTGCCTGCCTGGGCCTGGTGGGGTGACTTGGCCCATTTCCACCCCTACCGGCAGCGTAGATTGGAAATGCTAGCAATAGCATGCAATGGAAAATTGTTACTCTAAAGATTAATGTTAAAGCGATTTATGTACCGACATGATTTGGAGCCATTATTACAATTTTATGATATTCTTTCATAAATTACGAAGACCACCCTCTCCCGAAGATTTTATTTTTTTTCGTTCTTTTTATTTTTAATTTTTTTGCCTAAATTATCCTTCTATCGAACAATAACTGTTCTTTCGGCGAGCAGTGGCCCTATCGAGTATTACGGATACCCAACAGAGGCATTATCCTAAGTGAGAAACCCAAATATCTATTTACAATCAAATATGATCGTATCCAAAATGCACTCCTTCTTAAATCCTTTTCTTGCCCCAACATTAGGTTCTTTGATCGTGGACAGACAATAAACACGTCCAACATGACATCCACTTATATCCATTTTAAAAAGGGGCAAGCTTTTTACGTTTCCTCTATAACATAAAATTAAAATAGCTTTGAAATTTTTAAGGGATATTTTGATCATTATATTTTATCGAAAAGTTATTTTTAATATTTTTATGGGTGTGCCCCAATGAGAAGATGGCACATAACAAATTTCATATTAATACAATTTGTATAAAAAAAATTAAAAATAAAATACTTGGGACGTCGGATATAAAATCAAACGATGATTGGCTCTTTTGATCAAAATTAGATGGCTGGATGGTAGGAAAAGCATAAATCTTCTATGCTGTAGGGGGAGTATAGAAACTTTTCCCTTTAAAAAGCAGTCGATACTCTGATTCTCTCACTACTTTCTCTCTCTCTTTCTCTCTACCCTTTAACGGCTTAAAATATTCCCCTTGATCCATCTTCCTAGATATCATATTTGGGCTTCTCATATTTGATTGTCATTAGATATTCGGGGTTCTCACAATTATTGTCCGGTATCCATAATACTGGACAGGGTTATTGTTATGCAGAAATAACTCGCCAGTCCGGTATTGTTATTGCCGGATAGGAGGGCAACTTAGAAAAAAAGAAAAGCCAAAGGGAGGGGAGTGGTTATCATAATTTATAAAAAAAATTGTCATCAAATGGTAATAACAACTTCCTAACCATGTTTGTACGGAAATTGATCTTAATGTTATTTGGATCTTAGTTATCGTTGGGGATATTATGGGGAAGGATTTTATAGGGATATTACCGTAGAATACATTTTAGTAATTTTTTTATTGATGAGTAACTGAATATTAACTGAAAATATGATAAACAAGAATTATACTAGCATTTGTTGCATCAAACATTGCTATTTTTTTTACTGAGTCGGAGAATGAATAAGTCCAAAATAAATAACTACAAATTTTCAAGGTATTATTCAAAAATTGAATTGAGGTACATCTTGGGTATTGATGTAGGGACAATATTTAGATCCATGTCTGCAAAGTTAGTAAAGGGGCTGGGTCGTGGAGCTAGCACCCCCAATCCTAGTTTCGATGTTGTGGTTTCTAATCTGTTGACATCTTCAAAAAAACCAATTCCCTTATCTATATGAAAAACGGGTAGGGCATGTCTTCTCCACTAAATAACCCAAAAAAAAAAAAAGTCTGGGAATTTGTCAATGCGACTGTAGATCATCATCAAACTGCTTATCATCAAATTGGAAATAGGAACAGTGCTCATCTTCAATGGGCTCTTGGTTATTCCTCAATTCAATGCCTTGAAAGTTAATGGGCTCTGTGTCCATTGGCTCTTTCTTCTTAAGTTCGCTGCATATTCAGGTTGACCCTTATGTACACCAAATCATGTTGGGTTTGACTCATGATTTAAACGTCAGGTTTTTGCAATATTGGAAATGATCCACCACACATCTTCCACTCATTTAATATAACCATTAACTTCAGAGATAGTTCCTTTCTTCAATGAGACTATCTCATAACTATTGATCGGCAAATCTGGTCATCCGAGGCCTAAGTAATTTCATTCCCTTTACAGTTTTTTCTTATAAAATTCAAAAACAATTAAATCTTTATATATAAAATTTGTTATATTTCAGCCCCCTTCATTACCACCCTTGCCCAAGATAACTTATTGATATCCTCTAGCATCAAATCTAAGCAATGTATAGCACATGATGTTCTGAATATGTGTGGGAATTTTGTTTCAATTACATTCCTAACGAGTATAAAGTTTGGATCATTATCAGTACCAACTTGAACAACATTTTGAGGGTCAATTTATTTGATAATTGATGGTAAATCGTTTGACAAACAATGTCTTTCTTTTGACCACCAAAAAAAATTGGCAGGTTTTAGGAAATTCTTGCCTTTGGGAGAGGCAATCGTTACTAAGGCGATTCTTGTAATTCCACTACTAGGGAGAACGTACTCGGGACCATTATTTGGAATGGCTTCAACGATGCTTGAAAATCTATTGACTTCAGTTTGAATGAAATATTATAAGAAGTATATAAAGAGGCCATTTATTTTTTATGTAAGAAGGTCACAATCACTCTTGTGGTTCTAATTTTAAATTGCATAATTGTAAGAGTGTTATTGATCAGAGTTCCAAAAACCATTTTTAGAATTTTGTGACATACCCAAGCCAACCAATTTGATATTTAATGGTTAGGAGTAATTGTGAGCTCGTTGTAGATAAGATAAATGGTCTCATACCATACAATTCCCAATATTATTTGCAATCAAACTCCTAGCTACAATTAGATCTAAATCTTTTTTATGTTTCTTGTGCAGGATCCATTTTTTAGCCTTGGATTCAATAAAAAATGAACCCACTTGAGAGACATTATTTGCATTTATGGAGGAAGAAGATTTTAAACCAGATTGCATATTATGCACCAATGTTGCCTTCTTAGCTAGAGGTTTGGCCTCCATTTCTTGGACAGCTGCCTGAGCTATATTATACACATTCTCCTGTGACAAATGGGCACGCTTTAGTTACCCTTCCTTGATCTGTCACCCAAAACATAAAAGTTTTTTAATGAAAAATTCATATGTTTTTGACTGGTTAGATACTTCAATATTCAGCATTTCAAACATTAATCCTCTTTTTTAAAATAGTTACCGTAAATGAAGGGAAAAATTTTCAACTAAATCCTCTTTCTTCATGTATGGTTACAATAGGAGAAGAAACAAAATTTCAAATTTTAAATGCAATCGACTCAAAATAGCAACTTAGTTATTATTTGCCATATTGATAGCTACAATTTTTCAAGCAAGTTTGTGGTTTGAATTAAGACCGTTATTGTTGCCATAGTTGACTACCGTGATATTATTGGAAAGCTCTTATTTATTGGGATAATATTATAGATAGAGTACGGTATGTATAGAGCCGAGGCTCTAAACAATCATGGTAGAGCGCACCTTCAAATAGGGTCGAGAGATGTAGTTTCAATACTGAAAATCTTTAGGATAGCCTTAAAATATACTTTTATCTCTAATTATAAAATTTAAAGCTTAAAAAATAGTGTAGATTGAGCAAATCTATGAAAACTTGAAAATTGATGGTCCAAAAATTAATTACAAGATGCACTATTTCCAAAACTTGAAATCCTTTCTTTTTTTTTCACATGTCCATGTATCTTGATGTCGAGATGATCAATTTGATGATATTTGGGCATCAAAATAACCCCTTCTAGTGAAATTTTTGAAGTGCACTCTAATTTGATTATTTAAAGCCTTGGCTATGTACAAACTTTTTCCTTATAGATAATTCCTGCATAACAAAGTGCATCGTGACACAAAACTCACTTTATTTTATTACTGGTGCGAAAGAAAAAACACAGTATTCATACATTAATCAAATCATCAGCTCCCCCATGCTAGATCCACACTTTGCAAAACTGCCCAGAATTGAATTTGCATCATGATAAGCATGCTAGAAGGACACCAATGAGTTCTCATATAAATCCTGAACTTCAACCCCAACTGACAACAATTTTCATGCCATAGCTGCCTACTCCCCACTCTACACCAATTCACCGTGTTAAGAGAATCCCCTTCCACAACGCAGGATGTGGTAGGCCATCTATCCTTGATTGTCATCCCTTGCAGTACCACCTGAAACTCAGCCCCATTAGCCATTGCAAAACCACAAGGTCTTGAGAAAGAGAGGAGAATCTGAGAAGCAGAGTTCTTGAAAACACTACCAATACTTACGGAACCAGGATTACCAAAACTACAACCATCAAAGTTCAACATTATATAGTTATCGAGAGGCGGCTGCCATCTACCTTTTGGGCAAAGACACCAGTGACTACTGATGGCATTGTTATGAAGATTTGTGTACATATCTACCTTCGAGCCTCCTCCCTCATTAGTAATTGATAACCAACGCCACAAGTCGTGAAGAATTTTCTAATCTTTATGGGAATAAGAATTGTCCCATAAAACGTTCTGCAGTTATGCTCCTTCCATACTTCCCATAGAATAGTCGCCCTAAAGATTTTCTATATAATCCCCACATTTGGTATATCTGGAATATCCTGCTGATGAAAAGCAGAGGCAACAAATTGAGGCAAAAGCAACTGAAGCTCCTATCATACGAAAAGTCCATACCCAAATTTCACGAGTGAATGGACAATGAAAAAATAGGTCATTCCTCATCCTCTTTACAAAGTAGACAAAATGTTAACCAGAAACCGACCCCTCCTCCTCAAATTGCTAATAATAAGTACCTTTCTTTGTGAGAGGACCAATAGAAAAACTTAAAGACTTTGAGGAATAGG